GATTGATTGATTGATTGATTGATTGATTGATTGATTGATTGATTGATTGATTGATTGATTGATTGATTGATTGATTGATTGATGGATTGATTGATTTTCATGAATTAATTAGTAGATGCCAAGACAGATCGATACTGGAAAGTCCTGCCAGTCAGGCATGGGGGGGGAGGGGGCCATGTGTGTGGGGTGGGGGTGAGAACATCTGGATGACACTTAAAACGGCAGGAAAAGCCTTTTTGTCGACTGCTAAGAGCATAAACTGTTTTCATGATGGACGAGGTTTTCTCACAGGGTGGTGTCTCTGGGTTGTGACTGTTGGGAACTAGTTATAATAGTTGGGAACTAGTTAAAACTTTTGGGAACTAGTTAAAACTGATGGCTTGTTAAAACAGTTGGAAACTAGTTAAGGCTGTTGGGGACTAGTTAAGACAGTTGGAGACTAGTTAAGACTGTTGATGACTAGTTAAAACTGTTGGGAACTAGTTAATACTGTTGGGAATTGGTTAACACAGTTGGGACTGGTTAAGACTGTTGGGGACTAGTTAAACTTTTTGTGATTAGTTAAGACTGTTGGGAATTGGTTAACACTGTTGGGACTAGTTGAGACTGTTGATGACTAGTTAAGACTGTTGGAAACTAGTTATGATAGTTGGGAACTAGTTAACACTTTTGGGGACTAGTTAAGACTGATGACTTGTTAAAACAGTTGGAAACTAGTTAAGGCTGTTGGGGACTAGTTAAGATGGTTTGAGACTAGTTAAGACTGTTGATGACTAGTTAAAACTGTTGGGAACTAGTTAATACTGTTGGGAATTGGTTAACGCAGTTGGGACTAGTTAAGACTGTTGTTGACTAGTTAAAATGTTGGAAACTAGTTATGACATTTGGGAACTTGTTGACACTGTTGGGGACTAGTTAAGACTGATAACTCGTTAAAACTGTTGGAAACTGGTTAAGGCTGTTGGGGGCTAGTTAAGACTGTTGGAGACTAGTTAAATTTTTTGAAGACTAGTTAAAACTGTTGGGAACTAGTTAACACTGTTGGGGACTAGTTAAGAGTTGACTAATTAAAACTGTTGGAAACTAGTTAAGACTGTTGGGAATTGGTTAACACTGTTGGGACTAGTTGAGACTGTTCATGAGTAGTTAAAACTGTTAGGAACTAGTTAAGACCGTTGATGACTAGTTGACGACTCAAAATAACAGTTTCAGTTGCACTCTTGCTAAATTCCATATTGAAACCAAGTGATCAACTGTTTGTTTGGCCCAATTTTTGAAAATCTTGTACTTGCATGTGCACACTTTGTAAAAGACTGTGCACATTAACTCAGCAACGGTTTCCAGGATCATGAGTTTATGCATTAAAGTACTCTTTTGAAGTAAAGTAATGATCACTGCTGATCGGCATGATTAGACGTGCACATTCAGGGCTGTGGCCTCAGATGTTTTCTATTGTGAGGACTTCTTAAAACACATGTAGCTCTCCAGAATTACAGAAACTAAACTGAGAATGATTGGAAACAGGTTTGAAAAGCCCACAACACAATTTGCACCCAACTTAGAGTTTCCCTCACAAACGCTATTTGTTAACTGGTCACCAGTGAGATGCTGGGTTTGATGCTAAGTGTACAGAAGTTATAAATGATGGACATAAATATGAGATCTGCTCATAAACGGAGCCAAAGCCGGTGGTTTAGTCCTCTGATGGAGGAGAAATGCACAACCAGGCACAGCTTCACAGTGAGACAGGTTATCTGACTCGGTGTCAGACTATTTCAATAATGTCTGATTCTATCTTGGAAAAAAATCAATATAAATTAAAAGTTTATGTACTCGGCCCAAAGTTGTCCTCGGTGACGTGCAAACTCTGACTGACGATCCATCTCTGTCCTGATAAATCAAAGGCCGCTCTCGGATCGTTTCATACTCCCAACGTTGCGCTGGCTTGAATTTAGAGTGAAGACGCGTTAATTTCATTTGGGAATCGAGACGGAGCGTCGGCCGCATTTAAATGTAGCTGCCACGTCTCATCTTCTGACGGCGCTCGCGATTAAAAACCGAACTCGACCTCGTTCGAGTTGGATGGAGTTGAGAGAACCTGAGAACGTGCTGGACGCAGTCGGCTTCAGGCCGGGTATCAAAGCTTTACCTTGATCCTGTCATGTTTCATTGTTTTCCTCCTCACTGTGCCACCCTGCTGCTCCAACATCATTTACTGTCTGCCCCCCCCCCCCCCCTTCCCCCCGCCACCTCAAAGGCCTGATAAATGAACACAACCTCCCTGTTTTAGTCGGCAGCTCGGAGTCACCGACTTCAAAGCCGGGGATATGAATAATCAAACCGTTATTTTTAGCTTTTCCTCTTCGTGGTACTGACCTGACTTCATGATCTTTCTCCTCCCTCCATCCTGCTTCTCTTTCATACAAACTCCCTCTCTCCCGTCTGAACATTCCTCCTCCTCTCATTCTCTGCAGATCGCCGATTTGTACAAGAAGCAGCAGCAGATTCAGAATCAAGGAGACAAAGCGGACCCAGAGGACTACTACTGATAATCTGCAGCCGTCAGCAGGGATTGATAAATAATGGGAATTTAGCAAATGTCATTATAATTGTAAATATATTCTCCTTTTTTTTTTGTATTGTTGAAAGAAAATAAAGGCTCTTGCCAGTTTTAAGCATCCTGTAATTTGTTATCGATTTATCGAAGCCGCTCCTTCACTATATTTTCCCCCTTTGAGAGCCTGAACTGTGTAAACATCTCCCCACATACGGTGCACGTAATTCCCTAAAACGTCATCGATTCTGCAGTTGCTGCGTACCTGCTGCTCGTAGATCTGCATCAGAAATTCGCTGTGCAAAAAATTAAACACCGTTTAAACGTGCAGGTGCAATACCAGTTCCTTTAAGTGGCCCTGCTGCAGCTCGAGCACCCCGTTCAGTTGGGCATGGGGAGGACAAGCCAAGGAGACTGCTGGCTGCCTGCAACGATTTTAGGACTGGAAATAGATGACGAGTTGACAGTTGCTCAAACAGCAGGACAAAAAAACTCAGAACCGCGAGCTTGCATTAGATTAGACGAAATCTACTAACTGTCCAAACTGGATCAATCAGAGATATGAGGAAGAAGGGAAGGCCGGGGGCAGCTGTACAGCCAAGGACGTGCGATTGTGGTGTGGAACAGAGTGTTGAGTTCTCTGAAGATATAAAGGAGGTGCTTGTGGCAGATTGAGCCACGTTTTGTGGTTGTTTTAGTTGTTTTTTTTGTTGCACTTCAGAATGCCTTTAAATGTAAAACAAGCTGCTGTAGGAAATGATTGGAGTTGTGTAACCTTCAGGTGCACGTGCAAAGACAACAGCTGCACGTGAAGCAGAGAGGAAGTGTTTGAGTGCAAATAAATCAAGTTTCTTATTGACCAACATGGAAGTTGTCCCGGCAAATCATGTCTGATTTTAACACGTTTGTTTCCAGATTAATTTCAATCCTTTAATCTGATGATCATTCTTTTAGTCTTGTGAATTTGCCGCTTCCTGTATGGAACCATTTTAATACCAAATGCAACAAAATAAAGGCCGATCAATTATACAAATGCACCATTTCTGCTCTTCACAGATTGAGGCCGTGTCGACAGTAATAAGGGTGTTGAGCCGGTTTGTTGAGATTGAGAAGGAGCTCATTTAAAAGGCAAAGCTACCGATTTACTGGTCCAACTATGTTCCAACTCGCCTACGGTCAAAAGATATGGATCTTGACGGAATAAGATCCTAGATACAAGAAGCTGATTACGGGCTCATGCTTGAGATCTATCTATTCATCTATTTCCTTCCACTTGTACCATACCATACCACTTTATTTATAAAGCACTTAAAACAGCAGCAAGGCCATCCAAAGTGTTGTACAGGAAAAACGAGCAAAGGGCACAGGACAAAAACAGATTCAAATGGAAAAAGATAATAATTAAAAAGCTAACATTGTAGAGTACAGACGGGATTAAAAACAAGTTAAGCCAGGGAATAAAAGTGTTTTTTTAAGTGAGACTTAAAAACAGCGAGAGTGGGAGCCTGCCTGACGTGTAGTGGTAAATCATTCCACAGTCTTGGACCTGCAACAGAGAAGGCCCTGTCACCTCTGAGTTTGAGACTGGTTCCTGGAATCACAAGGAGCATCTGGTCTGTGGGACATATGGCTGCAGCTGATCAGCAAGATAGGAGGAGGCAGAGCTGTTCAGAGATTTGAAAACATACAGAAGGATTTTGAACTGAATTCGAAAGTGAACCGGGAGCCAGTGCAGGGAGGCCAGAACTGGTGTAATGTGCTCTCTTTTGCCTGTACCCATTAAAAATCAGGCTGCAGCATTTTGGACCAGCTGTAATCGTATGATGGAGGTCTGATTGATTCCCAAAAGAAGTGCATTGCTGTAATCAAGCCTGGATGTTATGAATGCATTTATTACAGTCTCAAGGTTATTTTTGGACAGTATGGGCTTCAGTTTAGACAGCTGCCTCAGCTGAAAAAAAAACAGGATTTAACATCATGTTTACATGATTAAGTTTCATGGAAGGGTCTATTATCACTCCAAGATTTGTGACTCTTTGTTTCTCTAACAGGGTTAGAGAGGAGAGGTCGACGCAGTGGTTCTTGATCTTACCATTAGGAGGAAACCGCATGATTTCAGTCTTCTTCTCATTGAAACTTAAGAAGTTTAAAGCCATCCAGTCCCTGATGTCAACCAGGCAGTCAAGAAGAGGTTGAATAGAACATGCACCAGTGTGCTTCAGAGGGAAGTAAATTTGACAGCCATCGGTGTAGAAATGAAAGGGAATGTTATGTTTATGGAAAGTGGAACCTGGTGGCAGCAGGTATAAAGAAAAGAGAAGAGGACCGAGGATGGACCCCTGCGGTATGCCCCATTGAAGAGCTGCTTAAATGAGGTCAACATGGGGCAATGAGTCTAGATGATTAATCCAGAACCCTCACCCCAGCAGCTCCTCTTGAGGGATCCCAAAGTAGAATAAAAGATCCCTGAAGCAAGTTTTAGGCCTTCCCTGGTCTTAAAACACACACACAAGACCATTTTGAACCCATCACTCTATCATCTCTAGAGCAGGTCATGTGCAGTTTGAAACCTTCTGGTTCCCCCTTTGATGTCCCCCCTCGACTACTAAAGGAGGTTTTTCCTACTTTAGGTCCATCCATTCTTGCTATAATAAACAGTAGTTTATCCACTGGTGTGGTGCCAAAAACCTTTAAACATGCTGCCGTCCAGCCTCTCCTGGAAAAAAAAAAAACTTTGACCCCTCAGTCGTTTCCAACTTCAGCCAGCCTGTCTCCAATTTCCCATTTGTTTCTAAAATACTGGAGAAAATAGTTGAGTCCCAGTTGAAGTGCTTCCTGGAGGATCACGCCATCTTAGAGCTATTCCAATCTGGCTTTAAACCTCTCCACAGCACTGAAACTGTCCTGCTGAAGGTCTTTAATGACATCTTCAGATCCACAGATACTGGTGATTCTGTGCTGCTTGTCCTATTGGACCTCACAGCTGCCTTTGACACTATCGACCATGAGATCCTCATTGCTAGGTTGGAGCAGTGGGTGGGCATCACAGGGTCAGCACTCAATTGGTTCGGATCCTACCTCACTGACAGATCCTTTTGTGTCTCCATCAAGGATTTTAGTTCTGCAGCGACAGAGCTTAAATGGGGGGTTCCGCAGGGGTCCATCCTGGGTCCCCTCCTATTCTCTTTATACCTGCTGCCACTTGGTACTATTTTCCAGAATCACAACATACACTTTCACTTTTACGTCGATGATTGTCAAATTTACTTCCCCCTGAGACACAAAGGTACATGCTCTATTCAACTTCTGCTCGACTGCCTGGCTGACATCAGGGACTGGATGGCTTTAAACTTCTTAAGTTTCAATGAAAATAAGTCTGAAGTCATGTTGTTCCCTCCCAATGACACAATCACAAACCACTGCATCGACCTCTCCGCTCTAACCCTGTCAGAAAAACAAAGAGTCACTAATCTGGGAGTGATAATGGACCCTTCCCTGAAACTTAACAATCATGTAAACATGATTGTTAAATCATGTTTCTTCCAACTGAGGCGGCTGTCTAAACTGAAGCCCATATTGTCCAAAAATAACTTGGAGGCAGTAATACATGCATTCATTACATCTAGGCTTGATTACTGCAATTCACTCCTGTTTGGTATCAGTCAGACCTCCATTGCACGACTACAACTGGTCCAGAATGCAGCAGCCCGATTTTTAACCAGTACAGGCAAAAGAGAGCACATTACACCAGTTTTGGCCTCACTGCACTGGTTACCGGTTCACCTTCAAATCCAGTTCAAAATACTCCTGTATGTCTACAAATCACTGAACAGTTTCGCCCCCCACCCCAATCTTTCTGATCTGCTACAACCACATGTCCCACCACGCTCCCTGAGGTCAGCGGACCAGTTGCTCCTCACAGTTCCAGGAACTCGTCTTAAGCGCAAAGGTGACAGGGCCTTCTCTGTATCAGGACCAAGACTTTGGAACGAGTTACCTCTGCTTGTCAGACTGGCCCCCTCCCTCTCGGTTTTCAAATCCTGTTTAAAAACTCACTACTATTCAGTAGCTTTCAACACCAGAGGATCTGTGTTTTGAACCTTGTACGCTCCACACTGGTTTGTCGTCATATTTATTATCTGCATCGTTTTTATGTCCACATTTTTGATTTACTTCATTTTGTAAATTGCTTCGTGTGTTGTCTGTTGTTCTGTCTGTACAGCACTTTGGTTGGCCTTGTAGCTGTTTTAAGTGCTCTATAAATAAAATGGTATGGTATGGTAAAAAGGAGGAATCCAAATCAGATGCTTGAACCAACTCCGTTGACTCCTTTCAGTTGGAGCAGCAGTTGCTCTACTGCAGGAGAGTGTTTAGTGTGTCATGTTGTTTAGTCCCTCAGTGGTTGCCACACATTATCAAATGGTAGTCGTGGTAAATCTGTTTGTGAAAATCTGGACTAGCACTGCTGTTTCCGTGTGTGCAGCTCAGACTTGTTTTGGCTGCTGATGGTCTGTTGCATCAGCAGGAGATGACGCTGAACATAATGAGAAGTAAAAAAACATTTGTTAGTGTTGTTTTCCTGTTTGTGTTGCGTGTGCTCTTGTAGAAGCGCAGATCCAGTCTGCATCATTACGCCACTCGTCTTATCTTTGGGATATTTACATGTAAAAGTCTGCAGCGTGCGGTATAATAATGTCCCTGTTTTCACATGCAGAGTGCTTGGTGTTTCCTGTCCTCAAAGGCATGTTTGTTGTGGTTTCTGTATGTGCACGTGTTCGTGGTGCATGGCCGGTGGTTTGCCTGTTATTTGTGTGTGTGGGCTGAGCTCGGTCTGAGAAAGATGCCATTATCGTCTAATAATGGAAATTCCTAATCCAGTTTTGACTTTCTTTTTTCCTTGTGTCTGTGTTTTTGTTCCTCTTGTTTGGGCTTTAAACGCATCTCCTGTCCCACATGTTCTGACACTCTTCATGAATATCATTATCACTTCTTTTTTTATTCTTTTACACACCCAGGA